CAGCGCCACAGTAGAGGGGTTTGCACGATAAAAAAAGGGCGAATCCTTTATACTTACATGAAAGAATGTGTTCTCATTTAGGGGCTTACTACGCCATTGTGGTTCTAACGAAGGCAAATGTACCTGCCAGTCAGCAAATTGTGGCGTCTTGAATAAACTCCAGACTATTCCCTCGTTATCTGCAGTCACTCACTTAGGCCCAAATCCCATCGCATGCGCATACAAGCCCTAAAAATATTCCTTAAAAGCGTCCGGGGTCTTGTGTAAAGTGGAAAGGGGCTTTATGCGGGTCCTCGTCTCCATAATCTCCAGCATGCTGCACTGTCCAGCATTATAGCAGAAACGACTTTCAGCGGCTGTGGGCTGTGAGTTTTGCGGTTAGAAATCTTAGAGTCCGTTTCCATAGAATAGCATTTGAGGAAACTATTTCTTGCAAGAGATCACGGTAAGGTCGCTCTGCTGATGGGCCGGCGGTACACTCAGGCTGGGACCTGCCAGGAGTCCTGTGCACACCAGGATTGACACAGAAGTAATTCGAAGGAGACTAGAATTCAACAAGAAAGGCCTATTCCCCTTGCTGCTGCATATTTTAATCTCTTTTCTGTGTGGAGAGTTGTTAGCTATGCAGCTGAGAAGGAGTAGCATTTCAGCTATGTTCAGTTCACCAGACGTTCTCCCCAGCCCCATCATGTCATCTGTCTATGTCACCATTTCACCATTGCAGCATTTTGGTTCAATTCTCTTACCAAGTCGCTCTACGTCAATGTAAGAACTCGCCTTCTGGTGATAGGGGGCCTTGCTAGCGACGACGCTTCACAGCAAAAGCTGATGGACACGCTTCGCTCAGTTACCTGCACCTTCTCCTGGCGCCGTCTGACCAGACAAACCTGCGCGAAATCCTAAATTTATCAACTTTACGTTTAAAGTGACGGTGTGGCTCTGCTCACCAGCGCAATTTGAGGGGTGCAGATGGAGAAGCAAACGAAAGGAGCAGCAACCACTGTTGCTGCTGAAGCCGACAGCAGCTGCCATGGGAGCACTGGTCACTATGGATGCTGTTGGTACCTCAACGTGGCATCGCACCAGTCGTTTGTACAACAGCAGTTGCAGAGAGGCTTGGGACTGCTTACTCTTTCCACTTGTGTGGATGAGATACCATGTATCTGTGCCGACGGAGGTTTTGCTGGTGTTCCTCACGCACCCTTTATGGAAATGGTGCAGCAGCAGCAGTCCATGATCAGTGGAGTGTACTGGACTCTGTGCTCTCTTGCTCTACTGCAGCCGTCAGCTGTAACAGAGCTGCCAAGGGCGGCTCTGTTACCCGTTCCTCACGAAGTGAGGATGGCGCTCCTTCACAAAGCTATCCTCCCGTGTTTTCGCAAAAGGCAATGCTCAGGCTGGCTTCCAGCGGCCGCCGATGCTTGTTCTTTCCCCAGTGTAACATCGAAAATGCCGACAGATGCCATACCGGAGAGAGGGAGAATGCGACGAGGACGGAAAGGAGACGCTGAAACGAGCCCATCGACACAAGTAGCGTCGTCTGGAGAAGCCGCTCTGCCACCTGCAAATGCAGGTACAGCATTCACAACTACAGGCCGCCATGTATCTTGCAGCAAGGCAGTTCTTGGCTTTAGCAGCGGTCCGGCAAAGGAGGCGGTTGCTACGGCTCTGTGTACCTGCAGTGGCCTGCAGGCGCTGGCCCTGCTAGGAGCTCTATCGTCGTTATCTTCAGAGGCCCTGCAACAACTGCGACGCTTCCTGTTGCTTCTTCAGCGACGAGAAGATGGCGCCTTCGCCAACACCTTGCATCCTAGTTGTTGGGGCAGCTTCTGCAAGGACTGCACCAAGACACGGCCACTAGGAAAAGCGTCAGCAAGAATGTTAGCAGGAGAAAAGATATGGGAGAAAGAAGGAGACGTCCGATGCACTTTCTGCTGTCTTCTCAGTCTAAAGCTAATACATGCCGCTGCCAAAGCTCAACGCCAAACAGGCCCTGCTACTTCTCCTCAGAGTTCTACATCTAAGCCGTCTGGGGCTGCACGTGAACGTCGAGGATCGTATACAGATGAAGCAGCTGCCGTGCCGGCTAGTGCAGAGCATGCTTCGTGCCTCGAGGGATATAGAGAGCCCGAAGGGATTTCTGGCGAGTCAAGGGCGAAGCTTTGCCATGATGCATCCTGGGAAGCTTTTATGTCTAATCCGTTTGCTGGCGTCCGCGTTGATGCAACAGTCTCCTGGTTGACGTCTCTCATAGCAGCCGACGGTGGTGTAGGTGTCTCCCCTGGGGCGGAGCCACACGCAGGCGCCGCTTTCTGCCTCGTTGGTTGTTTGTCTCTCCTAGGCAAAAGGCATGCTTTAGGAGCCAACGAGCAGAGGAGGCTGGAGCGGTGAGTCTTTCTGCCCTGCTGTCTGCTGTTGTGGAGGTATTGGCGTGCAACCGCGAGCTTTGCTGTACTGACGCCTCATTCTAGTTGCAGCGTCTTAGGATAGCGACTGTTAGGCAACGTTAGCAATGGTTATTTGCTGCTATTTGAAAAGGTCGTGGCGGCTGCTTTTGCAGGTGGCTGAGAGAGCGGCAGCTACCCGAGGGGTCTTTGCAAGGCCGCCCTGGAAAGAGAGGTGACAGCTGCTACACGTTTTGGGTGACTGCTGCGTTACTCCTGATGGGCAAGCAACCGCTAAAGCTGTTACAGGCAAGTGCTCTCGCTGACTATGTAGCTGCTGCGCAGCATCCGTTGGGGGGCATATCGCGGGTCGCTGCATTGAAGGGAGCAACAGCGGATGGCTCTCGCGGGCCTGCTTCGACCTCTAGAAATGACAAGGGAATCCAAGAAACAACAAAACAAGAAAGTGGCGAAAACAGAAGCGGCACGTGCAGCCCGTTGAGGTTACTGCATGTTGGCGCACTGGACTTAACTGATGAGCAGATGCGGCTTCCCGACCCTTTCCATACCTTCTTTGCCTTAGCAGGCCTTTCCTTGCTGGCGAACAGCGGAGATACGGATATGCGACAGCAAGACCAGCGGTGGCGGATGCAGCCACAGCAGCACCAAGAGCAGCAGCAAAAGGGACAGGGATGGCAGGAGACTTGTAAGAGACTTTTAAAGCCCGTGGACCCCGAAACTGCCTTGCCACTGCAACTGGCAGAGAATATAGTTTCTTTCGCTGGCAAAAACAGCTAAGGTGTTTCCATATGCCGCACGTTCGACATTTCTTGCTGAACTCGAGCGGAGTAGTGGCATCGGTCGCACCTGCAGTATCAGCTGATGCTGCAGCGGCACAAGACACGACAAGAGAAAACCTCAAAAGATCAACAACCAGCATCATGGCAAGTAGGCGGCCTTTTCATCAGCCATTCCGCGTCGCTTGTGCGGCCGGTAAAAGTGGGTACGTTTGTTCCTGCAGGTGCATTGCTAGTGCTCTCGATTTTGCCACAATCAAGAACAGCAAAACGGGACAGAGACCGGGCAGCACTTTAGGCACCTGATCTTAGCCATCAACCGTACATAACCAGCCTCAAATGCTTTGTAAGGGCCCGTTTCGCGGCGTTTGCCTGCTGCTCTTATACCTAGATTGCCCCTTTACCAGCTGATATCCTCAATGCGCTGGCGAATTTGTGCGTGCTCAGGCAGCAACGTGGTATGTGTAATAGTATCACCAGAAAGGGCAATGGCTCGGCTTCGAAGACCCCAAGAAGGAACGGATTCTACATGAATAGGTCGAGTGGGATGGTTGGCTTTTAGAACGTGCCTGCACACGTTAAGGAACTACCAAAGAAAGCCCCAAGCGAATCAGACGTAGTTCTTATGGAGGCCGCTGGCAGCCGCGTACCGACGTCCGAAGTCTTTGGCTGGTCTTCGTGCTACTTTTGTAGCTTCTGTTGCTGTCAATGCAGCTGCACAACGACAATGCGATAGTGTAGTATTGTCCGTGGAATAGACAGGAGTGGGTCGCTGGAATGAGCGCTTGGGCGCTGCTTCAAATAATTTTGGAAGAGAAAGATAACAAAGCGTTGGATAACGCGGGCACCTAAATGCGCGAGCATCACTGGTGGAGTTCTGCCATTTGCCATTCCGGTCTACTTCGCATGCACGACCGTGTTGTCAGAAGTTTCTTAAATCCTAAGCAATAGTCGGGAGCACCAGCGGCGTCCCACAGCCTCACGGGGAGGTACTGTGCGACCGAAGTTAAGAGCAGGGAGCCGTGGAACATCCATTTATTGATGCCTGTAAAAAACATCAATATGGACTACAGCTGGCCGCTCGTATCGCGAACCTTCCGTGCCGCGCGAATTCGTCTTTTACTTGTCGACGGTACGGCTGCAGCGTGGAGGTACGTCACTTCCACAGCGGCACACAAATATTAGGCAGATAGGGGGATACGGAGAACTGCAAGCCGAAGCAACGACGAGCCGTGCTTGACACCCAGTTGTCCCTTCGCGGGTACAGACGCGCATCAGTGTTTACACTTCAAAATTATTTCGAGATAGCTAAAGAAGTAGGCAAGAAAGACTCGCAAGGCTTGCTGAACGGGAAAGCAACAGCAGACCAAACTACAAGTGTAGCACGGTGGGTTGCTTCCTCTTGGTGTGGTCAACAAACTGCTCTAGCGGTAAACACCATGTACCTCTCTACCGTAAGCTTTGGTGCACATAAGGGACGAACCGGCTAGGTAACTCAGTCGCAGAACGAACCTCCTTATATCTGTCTCGAGCGAACTCTGTAGCCGTTTGAAAAACTTTCCATCAGTGTCTTGTCTTCCCTAGTTATATGACCCATTTGAAGAGCGAGTGAATACATTTTCCAAAAGGTCATAAAAGCTCGCCATTTAAGCGCGGCCACGGTGCTACCCTCGCGAATAATTGAGCAGGTTGCGAATAATTGAGCCGGGTGAGCAGCACTGGGACCAGAATGCCAGGAGAATGCCATTCAACAACAGCTGCTTCCCCTTTAAAACGTTCCCCAGGGCACTGCTATTGCCATCAGTGTTGCTTCCGCCGATCAGCCGAGCAACAGCGAGTCCCTTACGGCAGCAAAACCAGCTGCGGGCATGCGTCTTCTAGCCTCCTCCGCCGTCACCCACGCCCAATCTCTTACAGGACTGTCTGCGGGAAGACAAACCTGAGGCTGTTCAGGGACATGGTAAGCACGGTAGTAGAAAACCTGAAACGACATGATTGGCAACAGCAGCAGCTTGTCCACAGCAATACACCAAAGGGCCCGTAAAGTCTTCAGTGGAAAAAGTGACGACGTCTTCATGGGCCGACGTCGAAATAAACGTGAGCTAACTACGGGACGGGCATAAATATGGCCGCGACCATGTAACGCAAAAAAAGCCGGGAGAATTAGCTGTGAGACAGCAAAGCCTCTGTTTACGAGGAGGAGTAGCCAACGAAGAGATACCTACACGGAAAGATACAGAGAAACTTACTTCTCTCCCTTGGATAACTTCGCCAGGCTTATTTCTGATATGTCGAACCGCCGCCGGAGAAAAACCGACCATAAATGGGGCCTCACGCAGGCCTAGTTGTTTCATGCACAAGCGTGCTAGAGTCTGCAACAACAGCAGCAGCAACAGAGCACAAGGTAAGACGCTGACCCTACGCCACAGACTTCCAACGACGCGAGAAAGCAAAAACTTCAGCAGATAATTCTTCAACATAAAGCCCGCTCTCCTTACAAGAAGGCGAGGAAGGGGCACATTCGGTGCAAAGTCTAGCAAAGACAGAATCTGCGCTACCCAGGAGTGCACTTCAGGGGCAGCTACGGCTCGCCAGAAAGAGCTAGAACTCCTGTATCTTTCGGGATCAAACGCTCCGATTTCTAGTCGGGGAAAGCCGCCTAGCTCATGCAGCCACCACGTAGCGCACACATTATGGAATTTTTGGAGCCCTTTCAAAAACGAGGGAGGAAGAAGAAGGCACGACGACACTGAGAAGCATCAAGTTAAAACTTTATTGGGGTATCCCCCTGCCCACCTGACGCATTGTTTGTCCTTGCCTTCTGTCCTCCACTGGCAGCTGCCAGCTGTGGCCGTACTTGACAAGTAGCAGCAGTACTCTCTCAGGAAGCTGAGAAAGAGATTGGTCCTCCCTTTCCGCTGCTGTTGTTGGTGCAGCTGAGGCACTCGCTGTGACTCCCTGCAAATTATCAACAAGACGAAATCGCTGGGCTTGTCTGATACATGGGCCAAGCGCCCTACGGCAGCTGCTACTGTCGCATTGTGTCTGCAGCGTACTGCGTTATCCTGGTGTTGCCGTCTCTGGCGCCGCATCTTGTGCCTGTCAATCACCAGTCCCTCCTGCTGCAAAAGCATGTCGAGCTCTGACATCTGCGCGTCCCCTGTCCTCTGTTCTTTCTGCTCGCGCTGCTGCTGCTGCTGTCGAGTCTCTAAAAAATGCCCTGGAAGTTGCATGTAGGTTATCTCGTCGCCAAGAATTGCGCTGTTGTTAGTTCTCCTCTCCCACTCTTCTTTGAACAGCCTGAACTCCTGCTCGTGTTTTGGTTCCTTATACACTAAAGGTAGTCGCTGCAGCAGCAGCGAAGCTTGCACTTTAAGGCCCTTGTGTACAGATACCTCGTAGTGTGGTGGGGGGTTGTTCAGGAGCAGCGTGGCTGCGCGTAGCAAGCCTACACCAGCGCTAGACTTTCCTCCCAGTGTAGCGGCCGTCTTCGATGCTGATGCTGAAGACAGCTGGCGTTGGCATGAAGCGTGTGCTGCTCCGGCGGTGGCCTTCGCTGCTCTCCCCGCTACTCTTGCAGCTGCAGCTGTGTGCAGGAAGTTCCCGCTGCAGCGGAGACGGCAGCCGTCAACATAGGTATGAAGCCACACTGCTGCTGCTGCCATTGCCACGGTTGCAGCAGCTGCTTTTGCCAGGCACTCCCGTGGAGGTACTTTTGGGCTGTCTCCCCTTGTGACCCCTTCAGCTTCCTCGTGATCGTCGCTATGCGCCCGAACAAACTAAGAACGTCACACCCAAGAAGTCATCATCACTCAGTTCACACCTTACGAACTGGCATGAAGACGCGCGGTTTAGGTCTTTTTCCTGTGGCGATGCACCCGCGAATGCAATGGAGTTTGGAAACTGGCTCTCGGAAGTTCTCGAAAGCGTCTAGGGGTCCTTAAGAAGCTGTTGTCATCAGCCAACTGAGAGATAAGGATATCTGCTGCATGCTCATTTTCCCTGGGATTTCGTCATATTGTTGTGGAAAAGTCGTTTTCGGGCTTCATCGGTTGAAAGAGGCAGCTCCCGAGTACCACATAAAACATTCAGGCGCAGCCAGAGTAGTTGCTTTCAATTATTTTCTCCATTGTTGTTAACAGACAACTCACATTTTTGAATGCAGCGATGAGTGCTAAGGTCAGCAAAGCCAACACCCGCAGCAGCAGTCCACCCAGTGCAAGCCCAGTATGTCATTCGCGGGGCCAGCGACCAGGGCGCACAGCTACAGATCAATATGCCATTCACTGTTGGTAAAATAACCAAAATACCTCTTCTGTGCACCTGTGGAGAAATCCACCAAAATGTCTTCCAAGGATCCTCGCTCGGTGATCGACCCGTCCAAGTTCCTCAACAAGAAAGTACGGGTGAAGTTTTCAGGAGGCCGTGAGGGTGAGTCTCTTTAAAAAAGTTCACCATAACCAGATACAGCATATCAACATCGAGGCTAGAGATGCTCAGGAAAGCTCGTAGGAGACCTGACTGGCTTCCTGGGACACAGCCTCTCCGCTTGGTGCTCCACTATAAACCGTGAACAGAACATCTACTTGCCGGTGTTTTCAACGGTACTAGTGGGCTACATTTATTGTACTTAGTTGTTTGTGCCCACAGTAGAGGGAACCCTAAAGGGCCACGACGCCGTTTGCAACTTGGTGCTGGACGACACGGAAGAGTTTCTAAGAGGTACTGCGCACTTCCTCCTTCACGGTACCGTGAAGCGCCTCAGACCATTCCGTGTGGATGACATGTGCATGCAATTTCGCTCAGGCAGCTCTGACTGACTGCAAGTCCAGGCTTGTGTGCTCCGCGTAAAACCTTGTGTTTCTGCTGAAGTGGAGCTGCTGGTCTCTCCGAATTACGCTTGTACTTTTCTGTGTGATATTTACAGTGGCGAAGAGCGGCCACGCGTGCGTGCAGTGTGTCAGCTTGAAGGGCGACGGGGATACACACGCCCGTGACTAGCTTGTGAAAGCTTGTGTCCTGCCTCCCGCAGATCCGGAGGACGCCAGCCGGCTGCTGGAAACTACGCGGTCTCTAGGCCTCGTTGTTGCACGTGGAAGCGCCATTGTTCTGATCTCCCCAGTGGACGGCGTGCAGCGTATAGAAAACCCCTTCATTGGCGTGGAGGCACAGTGACTGGAAGTACTTGGTCTTTACCTGTGAAGACATGAATGCCGTGTGCACATGCTCAAATTTGTCACTGGTTTTCAAGGCAAACGCAGACTGAGGAGCGTTTTCTGAAGGCTTCCGCTGCACTTCTTGCATTTGGACCAGAAAGTTGCCGCATAGAGGCGTCTGGTTTTCGAATGGCAGTGGCTGTGAGGAAGGCGTTTCAAGATTCAGTATGCTGTGTGTTGGGAACTCAAAAGTGCTACCTACGGCTAAATTTTGCAGCGACAAGTGCACCGAAACTGCCTATTCGTAATTATTAAAGTGCCCTTGTGCTGTCTGGTCGACCAAGCAGCGCACTTGTCGCCCTGTACCGAGTGCACTGCAGTAGGAATCATAGGTGCTACTGTAATACAGTTGCAGCTGCGGCGCTCGCAGTGCACCGACTTGAAACGATCAGCGTCTACTTCCTGTAAGCGGAAGAGGAAGTGTACGCGGGAGAGAGATTCTGTACACAAGCACATAACGGTACTTCTTACTAGGAAGATGAGGCTACATTTTCTTAACTACGGGCTTCTTAACTCCCATTACTGGAGGCTTTGGTTTGAAGGGAACTGGTGGCTTCTTTGGAGTATCAAGAGTGCCCGTGGCGGTTCCTGTGGATGGCGCGGAAAGCGTTTTGGCTGGAATGGGACGGGCAGCGGTCGTCGTTTTGCTCTGCCCTGTCTTGGGGGCTCCAACCACAATGTTGGCGACGGGATCGTCAGGGACATTCACGGGTAGCACGGTCGCGTTCTTTATATATAGCGGTGTTGCTGCTGTTGCTTGGAACGGCGCGTCTGTGCAGGAATGTCAGAAACTGCACCGAAGATGCTTGTCGCATGCGGCCACCGCTCCTTCACACTCAAACTATTCGGCACCATTTGCATTTAGATTATTCCGTAGACTTAAAACAAAGGAATGCACAGTAGAACTTTTCACTACGTGGTTTGGTAAAGTAGAAACCGAACTGGTCTACCTGAAGGAGCCATTCCTGCAAGGTCTAGGCCCTCAAGTGGCCGCCACTCTGGGGGGAACTTCAGAACTTTCTGGGCTTCTGACAAGTCGTGTTCCAGCATATCTATTACAACGTGCTGCTTTTCCACTTGCTGTTCGAGCCTGCACAGGCACCCAAGTGTCACAGGCAAATCATGGAAACGAGCCTGCTCCTGTCTCCGTACAGCACTCGTAGACTATAGGAGGGTACCAAGCTGGGACGCTGAAGCGTAGCAATAACTTCAAAGTGAGAAACAAATAAGTAGTCAAGCACGGACACTAAATCGGCGCGGTCGCGCACTTCCTACAAAGTAACAAAAGACTGATGACGTCTTCTTGATCTTCAGCGTCAAGATTCGAGAAACAGTTCGCCAATTCTGAGAGACTTTGGTACGTTCGCCTGATCAGTTCCGAACACCCAAAGCAGCGTTGGCACCTTAGTGTCTCAGGAAGAAACATGGGAAGTCTGTGAGCAGACAATGAAATGAGTTCTCATGGAAGAAAAAGAGAAATCGCAGGAATTACTTTCGAGGCGCGGTCAATCCAGTCGAGCCCCAGCGGTCCCAAGTGCGATCTTTGGGTCTAGTCATCAGTGCACTTTTCCGAGGTGCCGTAGGCTTACTGCCAGAAGGCTCGCGCGGCTCCGCATACCTAACACGGATTTCACACAGCAGCTCAATGGAAGGCCCTCTGGATCAGACGATTTCTTTCTGACATGACGCTCCAGTTGCTGGGTATGCCTCGATTTTAGATGTCATCGGAAAAGAAAGTAAACACCAGTACTCCACACGTTGGCCACTGTGGGACTGTTTACCGTCTGGACAGCACGGAATTGCTTTGCCAATGAGAAATTTTTGTGCATGACTCTAAAAGAGCTAAGACTTTTGCTGTTCTATTACGGTTTAGCCACGTTGCGTAGTCAAGCAGCTGCCCACTTTTGTTTTCTTCCCTATTTCATTTTCCCTTTGCATACCGGGGGATCACTTCATCAACGAATGGCTTCTTCTCCCTAGAATAGTACGGTCGAAAGCCCGAGTAAACGTCGTCCCTCACACTGGAGCTTCTGCGCCTGGCTCTGTTTGACGGCTTCCTTGGGGGTCCATCAGCTTCTTCAGGCGGCCGGTACGACTCGCCGTATCCTCCCCTGATGTTATTGAGCTATAAAACCAGGAAGCAGCATTGAGTGGCTATGTATGAATGTCTTCGTAAAATAGCTTCAAGGTCAGCAACGACTCTTGACATAAAATCGACACTGTGGTAACTCACGTGTCGTTCTATGGGTAGCCATTTGGTCTTCCCCAGCTCCTGATCTCCGCTCGCGACCACGTAGCCTCTAGCGCGAGGTCCATTCATCTGAGCCACGAGTTCCGTTACGCTAATGAGCAGCGAGACAACAGAGGAAGGGAAAGCAGTTCGCTTCAGGAGACTCCACCCCGTCGCGATAAACGTGAGGCAAATTGAGGAGGGTACCATCTAGACAGTCAGCTTAACAGGGCTTTCCGTCGACCGCTTCATGAAAACTAAAGGGTAATGTGCTTCATAAGAGAGTATTGTGTTCCACTGCTTTGACGAACTGTACAAACATCCCAATACCCAGAAGAAACTTAGTTCCCGCATCTCCAGAGCACCACTATGCGCTTTTTTATCTCACCCTTTCTGAGACTTCCCATCTTTCTGCTGGGAGACCTCTTGAGGGGCTGCAGTCACATAGGGATAGGTGTGGGCAGCGATAATGGAAAACATTCATTTAAACAAAAGTATCTTAGGTGAACTTGCCACGGTCCACAGTCAAGAACGTTAAAGGCTTAGATAAGAACGTTGACAGATGCTGTCGCTGCGGTGTCTAGGCGGCAATAATGAACTATTGGGACCATTCTCATACCAATAAAGCTTGAACCACGAACATCAGCTGCATCCGTTTGACGGGGATACTCTGGCCACGCCGCCCCACGGCAATTGCCTTGTGGTGGCAAAAGGCCGTGTTGGCTTCCATCTTCACCCCCTGGTCCGTAAATCATGGGATAGGGGACTTGCGAGAGTGGCTGGGGAAGAAACGCGGCATAAGGGGATACCTGGGGCATAGAATAGCTCGGGATTGGAGGATAGGCAGCCCAACCAGTGGCCTGGTCCATTGGCATTGGGGTGGGAGCTGGCCATGGGGGTACTGACAAGAAGAAACCAGGAATCCCACCAGGAACTCTCACGCCTCCTAGGGCTCCTTGTTCAATTCCCCTCTCGAATGGTCCTTTCATTGCTTCTCGTTCTTCAGGTCTGCGGTCGGACAGTCGGCGCGCTGTGCACACGTGTACCATCATAAGCAGCAATATGCGCGAAACTCGTAACTCGACACGGACCATAACCACAAGGGAGGCGATCTAAAGAGGGACAAGCATCTTGAACGATGAAAGGGCTTCACGCACATCGCCTGGCTGGATCTGAGCGGTAAAGTGGAGCTGGCGGGCCCGATGTGAAGGCCACAAACTTGCCCCTAATGTACAGCAAAGAACACACAAGCACTCAGCCGAAAATGTATACGCCACCAGAATTTCTACTGCACGCGTGCACTTTACCAGTGTGCTTGTCTCGGAGGATATGATGCATGTGGGCACTTCGCATACATTTCGTTCTGCCTGAATCCACATTCTTCAAGGAATGGCAGCTTAGCTATCAGGAGTGCGGCTACAACGGCCCCACAAACGGTGGACCACGGGCCAGACGGTTAATGCACATATCTACGCTTACTCCTTGTCAAATACGGGAATGACGTTCCCTGCAAGTTCGTGGGACAACTCGCTTTTAGGTGCCAAGTTCCCTACGCTGCCTCGCTGCCTTCCAAACTCATCCATATTCAGAGAGCCCTGAAAAATGAGACCAATCTGAACACGTAAAGAAGTAGCCTTTCCCAAATATTTCTGCACATGGCCACATGCTCAGGCCAGTGTGTTCAGTATTGGTTCTTTAGCCAGCTCTCACCCCGCCAGAAGACGCCTGTGCAGATCTACTGCCTCCTGAAGAAGTATCCCCAACCTTACTCTCAGGGGCTACCAGGGTAGATCTGGAGGTTGCAGAGGCAACAGGAGTAGATGAGGCAACTGGAAAGCCTGAGCTACCTCCGTCGGGAGGCCCCTGCTTGGGAACGACCTTTGAGACAGCCACTCCCCTTGCTGTCGGCTGGTCATCCGGTGGTGCTGCTGGCTGAGCAGACCCAGCTTCTGATCCAGGAGACGCCTTGGTTCCTGCTGGAAGGCCAGAGTCAGGAGTCCCCTTTGTTGCCGTCTGCAAACTGCCTGGTGCCTTTGACTTTACAGGCAAGCTATGTGGGGCTTTTGATTCTGCCGGCGGACCAGGTGATCCGTTTCCTGCATGCAGAGGCCCAGGAGGCCCCTTGCCTCCTGCCACTGAAGTAGACGGTTCTTTGGCCTTTACTAGCGGCGATGGACCGGGAGCGATTTTTGCTGTAGTGGGAAGCCCCGGATCTGGGGAAGCTTTGACTGCCATTGGGGAAGCGATACTTTTGTCTTCCGGGATTTTTGATCCCGGTGGGCCTACCGGGCCTCCCTTTGCCGTTGGTAGGGTGGGGGGCGTTTGTTTCTGAGGTCCCAAGAGGGAGGGAGGCTTTGGAGCAGCCGTCTTGGAATTGCCTGGAGACTTATTCAGAGATAGTTTTGGAGAGTCTTTCACCAGCAAAGAAGTAGTAGATGGACTTTTTGTTGAGCTTGCGTCTGAATTAGGTGGCGGAGGCTTTGGTAAATTTTTTTTTGTAGCAGTGCTATGCTGAGTTGCTGGTTCCTTGACCCCGCCCACTGATAGCTTCGGAAGGGCAGTTTCATTCTTTGAGACTAACGGCGACTTCGGAGGTAAGCTACTGGAAGCTGGAGGCTTCCCCACAGCTGCGGGGGGGCTAGGCAGCGTAGGACTAGAGGATTTTTCCGCTCCGCCCGCCGGTGCTTTCGGAGGAGCAGCTCCGTCCTTTGAGGCTACAGGTGCTTTCTGTGGCGAGCTAAGAGTAGCTGGAGGCTTAGCAGGGGCTACAGGAGGTCCATTCGGCACAGCTTTAGCAGGTTTCGCGAGCCCGTCGAGTTGAGGCTTTGGGGGAGGGACTCCGTTCTTCAGGACCAAAGGCGTTTTGGGAGGTGATCCTGGAGATACTGAAGATTTCACTGAAGTGTCATGGGGGACAGACAGCTCATTAGACGATTTCGTGGTCCCGCCTAAGGGTGGTTCCGAAGGGGTAGCTTCCTTTCCCGATACCAAGGGTGTTTTGGGAGGTGGGCTCGTCGCCGCCGGGAGCTTTCCTGCTGCCGCGAGACTGGATGCTGGAGGTTTTGGCAAGGAAGCTTTTCCCGGAGGAGGGCCACTGCCATGGACAGCAATTTTGGCTCCTGGAGGGGCCCCTTTGGGAGGCCCTGATGCTGGTGGGGGCCCTTTGCCCACCAGGACGACTGACTTCGACGCAGGAGGCTTGGGAGGGGGCGCGAGCTTCTTCTCCATTTCAAATGTCACTTCAGATACAAATCCTGGCACACGGTGTGTTTTTGAAGCTATTTCGTCGTCGCTTCACACGGTAGGGCAGTCAGATGCTTCCGTGATGTGGGCGCTTTCCAGATCACTGCCTGTCCACTGTCTGCAAAGCGACCTCTGAATATCCCATCAAGTCACGCTTTATGGTTTGAGTAGAGATTTGGTATTCAAGCTGGTTCGCGCAGCTGTGCGCATGTAGCAAAAGCGGGTTGCTCATAGCTGCAAACCCGTGCGGATGAAGGGTCTGTGTCCGTTTAGAACGGAAGCCAGCACCAACAATTCCTACACAGATCTACGTATACAACAAAGAAGAGATTTGACATTCTCGGGGAAGCAAGTGCCACAGAAATGTGTTGACTGGACCCTATTGGGCCACAATGCCGCCTATGGGAGAGCCACAAGGAACTGGGCCACATACCAAGAATATCTGGCGGCCAGATTAAAGATCCTCCGGTAAGAAAGCAAGCTATTAAGCTTTGTCAAGCTTCAAAGGTACCCGACTGTCACGTATTCAAACTGAGGCGGGTTGGTGTAAGCCCCAACCGGTCAAAGGGACCAGACCGTCGGCAGCGACCGTTGAGACACCAGCAGCGCGCAAGCTTCCAGCACTCAAAATGCCCAAAAAAGACATCCATTCAATAAGGATAAAATATGTTTTGAAATTATCTGGCCGAAATAAGCTATGAGCGTTTCATGATGTATCCCGTTTCCTTCTTCGCAGTGGCTGCCCGGCTTGGCTATGTGACCATGCCAGGCAGCATGTGCTGAACAATTTCCTGTTTGGGAGCTTCGTTAAATTGGAAAACTTAATGACATATTAACTCGATTCGTCATTTTCATCTGTCCGAGCTTTTGGCCCATTCTAAGCCCTGTACTGCACAATGCACCGGTAGGTGTCCTTGCTCGACCCTGCTCGACCCTGCATCGCTCGTAAGCCCAGACAGTTAGTCTTTAAAAACAGGGCTCCACCTTTAATGATGCCAAAACGACGGAAAGAGTAGATTAGAGGGACATTAATCAAAAGTGAAAGGACAGCGAGGCGTCCATGCTCCTGGGGGCGCTTGTCACGAAGGCAGCACATATGCGCCCTCTTTCAATACAAAACATTCTATTGAAGGACCTACATACCGCCCTCAAGGCTCCGCGCTTCCAGCCGGCAGCAGTTAGACAGAGCACCTGTGCTAAGAACTGAAGCAGATGTACTTTGGACGGCAGCACCCAAAAAAGCACGAAGAGGAACCTTAGGTTAAAATACTGAGGGTGCGTGAACCTGGCTCGTAAAATGAAACCTAATCCGCAAGGGAGAGCTCAATCAGTACGGCCAAGGAGAGAAGACTACTGCTTCCTCTGAACAGTGCTTCCCAAACCGTGCCATTCTTCAATGATGCCAACAAAGAAGACAGTTAGGGTGCTAACGGGTGCTCAAGCTCCTGTCAGCAGGAATAGCTGTAGATCTTTTAGACGGTTGTGGCCCTTGCTCTACATCAATGAAACGGCTGCGACGGCTGGGGCGGTTGCTCTACATCTATGCGACGGCTGGGGCTGCTTCTACCCAGAGCTAGTCTAGATTACAATGCTTGATCGGACCAGCTAATGAACGACGATTGTGACCCTTGTTCTACATCAATGAAAAGGCTGCGACGGCTGGGGCGCTTGCCCTACATCGATGCTACGGCTGGGGCTGTTTTTACCCTGAGCTAGTCTAGATTACAATAATTGATCGGACCAGCTAATGAATCATCAGATGCATGCAAATGGCGTAGTACTGGGTCTGTATAGAATCTATCTATGGAGGCAAGCATCTGTGTATCTGGGGCTGTGTCGCCAGAAGACAGAATCCCACTTAACAGTGCCTGGAAGCCCTGTGCCCTAAGACTGAGCCGCCTCTTGTTGGTCAACTGTCCCTTGTTGGCGTAGAAAAAAAGAAGCCAGACACATAGAGTTCCAGCATGGCCAGCAAAAGGTGAAATACACACAGCTAGAAGAAATGCGAGAAGTGCCAGGTGCATAAAATTCATGGCTGTCAGCGCAATTTCTTTCAAACTCAGTGCCTTTCTGTGCGTTAAATCCTGCTCAACTCCCTATTATTACAGGATGTAAAGGAAATGCAGAAGGAAACGTGCAGTGCAAATATGCACATATCTGTTTTTGGTGAGCAAAGCATCCTTGTTCAAGGCTTCATGTGAGCGTTGCGCAATCCCTGAACATGCGGAATCGCGCGTCCAATACCTGAAACAAATGAAAAACACAGAAACGGCCCCGCTTCCTAATGGCGTGCCATGTGCCCCTTCACTGAAAGGCTTTCTTCTTGTGGAAACGTATGAGAAGACGTCTCATGGTTCGCTTTTTCCAGCAGGTGCGCCTGTTCCTTTCCCTGGCCTTTCCAGCCGCGAGCTCGAGTGAGGAGACGCAGCAGAAACACAAGGTTCATTCCCCAGATGAGATTAACACAGGCCTCCATCGCCACAGCGTGTGTAGGGTTGTCGCTGTCCTGGTTAGCCGGCAGGCTAAGTGCCAAAATGGCAAGGCTTGTTACCAAGAATCCGAAGGGAAAACCCGTAGGCTTTGAATTTGCGAGGGAGTTTGGAGTGTGCCTACGCTTCCGCAGGCTCTGCGTCAGGTCTACTAAACCTGAGAAAAACAGAATCGGGGCTGCGCCGGTGAGTACCCAGAATGTGACGATCCAAAAGGGGAAGATGGGGACGTGTGCCTCCAAGAAATCATCTACCGCAAACAGCCCGTCGACAATGTCGTCAGCAAGGGAGTCATGCAATCTCGTTAAGATGTGGCTCTCATCATCAGAGTCCTCTGGAGCGCTCAGAAGAATGAGTAGAAGGCCTAGCATGAGCGAGCCAGTGACTAGGGACTTGATCCCACGTATGGGCGAGCCCGTCGTCATTTCTTCCCTAGCCAACACTTCAGTCCCTGCAGCTTGTTCCTTCTGTGCATTTATACTCGGTTGTGAACTGTGTTGGTCCTCTACAGGAGTTGTGCAAGTGCTGCAGTGGATGTTTGCTGAACTGGCCGACAGGTCGTACCCCTCCAGACCTGCCTCGCCGAAATTGCTAGTAAACGTTATAGGGGAATCACCTAACAGCCAAAGCTTGTCATCAAGAAATGCCCGACCATAGCCCTCTGTGGAGTTCTCAGATACCTCAGATTCCAAGGTTTGCTCAGTGAGACCAATCGATCCACTTGCCAACCCCCCAGCAGCTTCAGCTGCTGCCGCTAGAAGCGGCCAAGTTAGAAGAAGATTCATTCAGTAAAAAACAAAAAGGTACCTATGTGGCAGAAACTGGGGACGAAGTAGGCTGCCTGCCTGCTTTGAGGCCGGGACAATTCCAATTTCATACTAGCGAAACGCTGAAGTGGTCAGAAAAAGCGCCCGCTAAATCAGAGCATAACTGCCTTTGCCTTATTTGGTTTCTGTCAGAGTGAATCAAGTATCACGAGTTGATGTAGTTAGAGTTAATATTACGCCTTTAGGGCAGGCTTGGAGTGTCGGGCTCCCGTCTTTCTCATCAGTCGTCGCTGCGAGCGCTGCTGCTCTGTAGCAGCCGCAAGCCCCAGATTTTAAGATATTGCCAGTCTGATTAAAACTGAAAAGAAATAAATTCGATGATATTGGAATAATCAGTGGATTACTTAGCAGCCTGCTTCACGTTTAAACCCGCTGTTGGGGAGACGATGCTAAATCTGTATTAATGAGGTGTCCCACTAGTAATTGAGAGCACTTGCTCAGCAGTGATGCTCAATCTGGAAGATAAAACAGCAAAAATACTTTGAGCCTGTTTCCATTTTTCGTTAGCTGTATATTTGCCTATGCATGACGTGGCACAATGCAAAACTACAGCGCGTCACTGGAAGTGGTCTTTCCCAACGCCTTCGAGAGCGGTAGTTGTTGCCGTGCTGCATCTGAATTGTTTTTCGCAGATTCCTAACGACTTCATCGCCTCAGTTTCTTAGATTGAAAGAGAATAATGGAGTATACGGCACTGATTTCTTCCTTTCTCGTAGATCTCTCCGCCGCGGGTACAAATGATTCAACATTTAAGGTTTTAAGCTGCATTACTTTAATTTAAGGCTTCGAGTGATTCGATTCTTTCCTTGAAGTGCAATTCAACTCCTTCAAGCATATAACTGGATAATTTGGGGCGTTAGACCCGTGCCTTCCGGCATGTATAAATGAATGGAGAAAAATTAGTGTCTGATGGGTGATCGCTTTCTTAGCTGCTTACAGCCACAGTAGCTGCGCAAGTCTAGGGCTCCTGGGAATTTATCTAAATAGGGCTGTACTGCGATCCTGCAGGTGCGGATGTGAGAGCCATCAGTGTTCCGTTGGGTTGAATTTATGGCTTGTATTGGGCAGGGAGTGTAGTGCTGAGACACTACAATGGGGCTGACTAGTGTCCTAGGGATGATAGCTAGCTAGCGACCTGCAAGGGGCCGCGACACTGGAGGGGGACAGGAGCCCCCCCAATACATGAAAAAATAAGAAAACCGTTAGTGAGTTCTAGTGAAAACATGAATTGTGCGGAAATCGTGTGGAGACTGGGGCTGGCGATAGCGCCGGCACCAATGCGACCTTCCCCCCTTGGGGTCTAGGGGGTAAGCTCCGAGAAGGGAGCGAATCGAACACAGAGAACACAGACACTCCTTGAATTGTCGTTTTTCGACGGAATAAAGCTGTAGAGCCCGAGAAATGGGGCTAATCCAGGTGTAGTATGTAGACCTGTAGAGGGACAGGAAACAGCGTAGTCGCAGCAGTAGGCGCCGCGCACTACAGGGAGGGTTCGTGCAAACTATGGCGCAAGACCGACTGCAAGATATTCTGTGGAGACGGCAATAGTCGCAACCCCCTTTGATATTGAGCCTTAGTTGTACTCATTTTGTGCAAAGATAAGGATCAGTGCTCCTTGTGTTTGGAGTGTAAGAAGAGGGGACTTATGGGTAAAGATTCGTCAATGAGTGGCGAAAATGCCGACAAGTCTGCAGGGATCTGTAAAGGATATGGAGGTACCAACCATATCAATTGCGTTACACTGCTAAGGCCGCGCCTATGCTGAAAGAAGAGAGCCAGAAGCGCACGCATACCTTTTGAAACAACAGAACAGCACCAAGGTTTAAAAGACTATGCCCTGGAGTTATGCGTGACGAACATCCTTGGCGCACGTGACATGGAGACAGGCATCTGTAGTGCACAGTGCTCTCAGCTGCGGCTACTGTAGTGCACAGGCACTACAATAGGGCTTGCTGGTGACCGTAAGAAGATTGCTGTAGTGCACAGACACTACAATGGGGCTGGTTAGTGCTCTAGAGAGGATAGCTAGCCAGCGACCTACGAGGGGTCGCAAGACTGGAGGGAGACAGGGCCCTCTTACCAGACAAAA